AACGTCTAAATTGAAAAAAAAATCTAAATACTAAGTAGATTTCAAGTTACCAATAAAAATACAAACTCTTATTTCTAAAACTAAAACTAGTAAAAACTCATAAAAAAACAATGATTTTTGTTTCATCTAGTAGGAAATTTTTCAAGCTTTGCAGTGGTACCAAACTCAAAAATCTACAATTAACAGGTTCAAAGTTATTGGTAAAATTCACTTCGGGTGTTCCAAGTTAACAAAAAAATTACAAACTCGTAATATTAAAATTAGACAATGATTTTTACACCATCTGATTGGAAATTTTTCAGGCTTTTCAGTGGTACTAAACTGAAAAATCTGTGACTTCTAGTTCCAAAGTAATAGAAAAAAATCTACTTAATTGTGATTGAACTTAATTTGCATGAATTTCCTCGCCGACTAAACATCGCAAAACAATGCTTCTTACTTCCTCTGATAGGAAATGACTCGGCCTTTCCAGTGGTACCAAAATAAAAAATCTGCAATTAATAGTTCCGGAGTTATCGACCAAAAACTAGTCCACTAGTCTTTATTCAAATTTTTTTCAGCGGTTTTCCTGAAATCCCCACTCTCAAGTACCTCCACTTCAGCTCAATGCCCAATTTGGTCAACATCAGCAAAGCCTCCTTGAGCAAACTCGTCAATCTCACCGAATTCTATTGCTACAACAACCCAAAATTATCGAACATTGACCGAGAAGCGATTTCGTCACGACGTGACGGTGCCGAATACAAAACCTGGCCCCCGATCAAGAAAGTAATTACCGATAATTCCAGAAAATTCCGGTAATTCTAAAATAATTCCCCAAAATTTTTTTCAGCTATTTTTACAAAATAATAAATTGGCCTCGATAGACATGGAGATTATCCTTAATTGGAAGGATTTGGATGCACTTGATTTAACCGAAAATGCGTGGACTTGTGAATGCGAAAATCAGTGGATGATTGACGAATTAATGCCCATTTATTTGCAACTCGATGAGGACAAAGCCAAAGCACTCAAGTAATTATTTATTTATTTATTTGTTTATTGATTATCATGTTGTGATTGATTTAAAACCTTGAATCTCGGTTACGGTGTTGCCAAATTGCTGATTTGACTTCAAATTTTTGAAATCATTACAAGATATCAAACAAATGACGTCACTCTAGTTTAAAAATTTGGTGTAAAATTGTAAATTTCAAGTAAAATTTAAGTTACCAACAAGAAATAAAACACCTAATTTAAAATTTATTTACTCGGTGACTATGAATCAGAAGACAATGATTTTTATTTCGTCTGATGAAGAATTTTTTAAGCTTTCCAGTGGTGCCAAACATAAAAATCAAAGTTTTTTGGTACTCAAGTTATCGGCAAAAAATGAGCTTAAGGAAAAGAATGTTGTGTCTTTAAAATATTTCAGTTTTCAAACACATTTTGTCAAAACTATTAAACAAATCACAAAAAACTAAACATTTTGAAAATATTTCGAATTTAAGGTCTTCAAATCGCACTAAATTCGAGGAAAAATGCTATAAAACCTTGTTTTAATTTTGAATTTTGGTCGCAGCGTTGCCAAATTAATCATTTTTCTACAAAATCGTGAAATTGACTTGAATTCTTTTTTTATTTTATTATTAATTATAGTAGACTAGAATTTTTTACACAATTAATATAATTAAGTAAATTTAAAGTTATTTTCTTACTTTTTAATCAAAATTTAATATAAAATTATAAAATTCCAAGTCATATTGAAGGTATTAAAACGCATAATTAAAAAATTATTTACTTGGTGATTACGGATCAAAAGACAATTATTTTAATTTCATCTAAAGAAGAATTTTTTGGGCTTTCCAGTGGTACCAAACATAAAAATCAAAGTTTTTTGGTACTCAAGTTATCGGTAAAAAATTAGCTTAAGGAAAATAATGTTGTGACTTCAAAATATTTCAATTTTCAAACACATTTTGTCAAAACTATTAAACAAATCACAAAATAACAAAAACACAAAAATAACAAAAATTAGAGGTCTTTAAATCACTGTAAATTCACTAAAAATGTAAAATTCCAAGTAGCTTTCATATTACCAAACTCTTGATTTGAAAATTGGCAATTACGCACCAAAAGACAGTGATTTTTATACCGTGTGGTAGCAAATTTTTCAAGCTTTCCAGTAGTACCAAACTCAAAAATCTAAGTTCAATGATTCCAAAGTTATGGGCAAAAATGAACTTAAAAAAACAATGTTTTGACTTTTAAATATTTCAGTTTTCAAACATATTTGTCAAAACTACTCAATTGAACAAAAAGAACTAAACATTTTTAGAAATGACACTTTAAAAACTTTTGAATGACACAAATTTGAGGTCTAAATCGCACTAAATTTGCGAAAAATGTAAAATTCTAAGTTACCAACGAAAATACCAAACACTTGTTTTGAAAATTATTTATCCGGCAATTAAATACCCACAAGACAATGATTTTTACACCGTGTGATAGTAAATTTTTCAAGCTTTCCAGTGGTACTAAACTCAAAAATCTACGACAAACGGATCCAAAGTTATAGGCAAAAATTTATTTAAAAAAAGCATGAAACATTGATAAATAAGAAAGTGCTATAAAAATGCGACGTTTCGTAAAAAAAATTGAAATGTTGTTTTTGAATTCAACAAAATTACAACTATCTACATGTTATTTAATTTTTATCAAAAAAATCTCAAATCACATTTTGAAAGCAAATTAAACAATCCTTTTTGTTCACCTTGTATATTTGATATAGTGACAGTCTAAATGTTTTCAGATGTGAGGCACCAATCGAGATGGCTTCATTGACACTTTATGACATTTATCAGAAACAAACGACGATGCGATGTCTTGATTTGTACGGTCATAGACCCGAAAGAGACGGCGTTTTATTGGTTGGAATTTTAGCCGGTGTTTTAATCACCATACCATTGATACTTTTCATCATTTACGCTTATCAGAGACACTGGTTTGGACTATTTGACAGCTCACCGGCCGCTTTTTCGCGCCAATTTTACAAAAGAACCGTTTCTTCCGAAGACGGCTATCTCTAATTTAATTTTCCTACTTTTTAATTACCAAATAAAGTATCGTTGATTTTTTTAATAAAATTAAATCACGTCCTTTGCCCTATTCACTCATCCCTAATCCCCCATAATAAATCTAATAAATGGCAACGTTGTAAACTACAACCCACCGATGCGACGTAATAAAATCAGTGTCTGAAGGCACGACATGAATGGATGTAACCCGAGTAACGTGATAGAGGAACAATCGACGACCGTCAAGGGTGGCTTGATTTTACAATCCCCAATTAAGGAGACGTACGGAAGCGATTACGACCGGCCGTCTAATCACGATAATAATATTTACTCGACGATAAATACAAGAGAGTGTATTTGTTATTCGATTAAATGGAACGTTTCACAGGAAAAATTTCATTAGTTTTGTTACTGGGCCCAATTAGAGGGTACATTCCCGAATGAAATGCCTCATTGGTTGCCAGGTGTGGCGATTTGGTGGAAACTTTTGGAAAAATTTTAATATTTGAGGATTTTTTCAAAATGTAAAATTTGATTATATATTCAAATTTTTCCGAAAAAGTCGAAAAATTCGAAAAACCCCAAAATTGGTTAAAAATAATCCTGTTTGTTGTCTTATAAGATTTTAGTAGACAGGATCGAAAATCACAATTTATTTTTATTTTTCAAATACTTTTTCAGTTAGAAACACAATTATTTCACAAAATTTTGTTAAAAAAACATAGATCTAGAACAAAATTTCTAATATCTGGTTACTTTTCAAAATGAAAAATTTGATTATTTGGTCAAATTTTTTCGAAAAAGTCCAAAAACCACAAAGTTGGTTAAAAATAATCCCGTTTGTTGTTTTATAAGATTTTAGTAGACAGGATCGAAAATCACAATTTATTTTTATCTTTTTCAAATACTTTTTCAGTTAGAAATACAATTATTTCACAAAATTTTGTTAAAAAAACACTGAACTGGAACAAAAATTCTAATATCTGGGGATTTTTCGAAAATGAAAAATTTGATTATTTAGTCAAATTTTTTCTAAAAAGTCGAAAAACCACAAAATTGGTTAAAAATACTCCTGTTTGTTGTTTTACAAGATTTTAGTAGACAGGATCAAAAATCAAAATTTATTTTTGTCTTTTTCAAATACTTTTTCAGTTACAAATACAATTATTTCACAAAATTTTGTTAAAAAACACAGAACTAGGACGAAAATGATTTTTTCCTTTTTCGAAAGTTCAAGCAAATTTTTTTGAGCTGAAAACTGTTTTTTTTGTGAGATAAAAGCACTAAATTGTTATACAAAAGATTGTAGTATGATAACTTGATTTTTTCGTCAAATTTTCTCGAAGAAAATATTATGGAAAACTGCCAAATTGGTTAAAAATAGTTAAATTTATATACAGGGTCGCTAAAAAGTACGAATACAGTTTAATATTTTAAAAACTGTTTATCAAAACTTATTGAAATTTGATATATGTTTAAAAGTATTTAAATTCTATCGTTTTAGATGTTTATCAAACTTCTATCTCGATTTGTTCTGTAGATACAAGGCTAACTTGATTTTTTTTTAATGTCAAGAAGGGTCAAAATTATTATTTTTAAAAAGAGCATTTTTTCCTGAGTTCTGTGATGTAACACATGCATACCTTATTTAAAAAAAAGTATCGAAAAAAAATATTTTTTTTAACTTGTAAATGTTTCCCAAATTTCAACGTGCTCTGCTAAACCGTTCTGGAAATATTTAGCTGTATCCATACTTTTTAGGGACCCTGTATATCATATAAGATATTACTAAACAGAGTCAAAAATTGAGAACTTATTTTTGTTTTTTTTTGAATGCTGTTTCAGCTAGAAACACAATTATTTTGTAAAATTTTATTGAAAACAAGCCACAAATTCACCAAATTCCGAGTGGTTAAGGTTTTTGAGAGATAAAAACACATAAAATTTCGAAAAATCTTATTTCAACAGGCTAAAAGATTACAAAATTAAATCGAAATTGATATCATTTTTTAGCTTGTTTCTCCCGACTTACTCGTACTTCGTTTATTTATTTTTCAACATCTTCACCAAACACGCCTAAAAATCACAAAAAAGATTGATATTGATGTTATTTTGTTTGTTTCACTCGATTTAACTGTTTTTTGAGCAAAATTAAAAAACCACAAGATTTGGTCGTTTTCAAAAATCTCAGATTGTTTGCTATATTCGTTGACATAAATTAAAAAAACAAAATATTAAGTCTAAAAGTAGCGTTTTAGCACGGCTTTCAACTAAAAACGCAAAATTTGTTGAAAACAAGCCGAAATATCGCAGAATTAAGCCAAAAAGTATGTTATTTTTGATTTTTTAAACTGAAAACTGCAACTCGGATCTGGTGAATTTAATGTTTTTGATTTGGCAACACTGTCCTTGGCCCGTTTCAATCAAGTATCCAAGGAAATAGCACCGTTATTTGTTTTAGCTTGTATCCATGGTAATTTGGTTTATAGCTTTATAAAGCCGGTGACTATTAGTACAGAGCGGCAATTAGCCGTTTCCTGTTTTATTGTGTGGATGAAAAGTCGAGTGTGCTCTTGAGTTCTATTCAAAAGTGACATTTCTGTAGTGTTTTTCTTTTGGTACATACGTAATGAGGAGAGTTTGTAGCGAGGGTCGAGAGTGCTTTCGACGTTGATGCTGTCACGATCTAAAATCCGGAGCTTTTCACATTTTTACCCTCTTCATTATGATGCAGCAATTATTTTTCTAAACGAAATTTAATAGCACGAAGAGGGCGATGAGACGTGTCCTATCTCGAAGAATCGCCTGTGATATTTATTGTGAGAAATATCCTAAGTAATTTTTCTATAGACTGTACGCCGCAAATTGCTCGTAACGAATGCTATTCTCCCATAATTTTTCCAATAATGTTCAATTTATGTGCCGAGAGGGGTGGGGGCGAAGGGGAATTGCTATCGGCTTTAAAAATACAAAATGGAAGCGGCTTAGGTAATCGATACGCGACGACAAAATATTAAAAATACGACGAATTTATTCGTTTTGCTCATTTTATACTCTCTAAGCACTAATTGGATAGATATGAGCCACGTGACACGTTGTCATAGATACCAAAACAAACTTGGCTTCTTATTGGCGGATGTGTGTCACGTGATGCGATTCTATACACACCAAACTATTTAAAATTATAATTCTTTTATTTTCATAACTTTATTATTATTATTATTGTTTGGCCAAATATGAGTCACACTTACCTCAAAAAGCTCTTATACTCTTTCTCTTTCTAATGCTTTGCTCTCTTAATGCGCTCTCTCTTTAGCGCACGCCATCTTTTGACATTTATTTGAAATGTGTTTGAATTTGAATTAGAGAAAAATTGTTGATTCTATCGGGGTTGTTACTATGTTTTAATTCGATGTATTTATTCTATTAAAATTAAAAAAATATATTTCTTGCATTTCTACAACGTTTTAACACTTTTTTAGATCTTTGAGTAATTTTAAATGTAGAATTTTTTCGATTCCTGGCAAAATTTTCATCGTTTTTGGCAATTTTAATTTTAATGTTAATTATTTTTTTAATTTTTAATTAATTTCGATGTAAAAAATATGATTTTTGAAACTTGATCTCTTTTTTTGTTGCAAAACTAGTTTTGTTACAAAAATTTATTAAATTAATTACTTAGTTTTGGCCTAAAAAGGCTTTAGTAATAAGAATTACACCTAATTATGACTCACCCAGTATAATTTTTACTCACCTGACAATTCTGATTAGCTTTTAAGTTACCATTGTAATTAATCTAAGGAGTAAAATTAAAACAAAAGCTCAAAGAGTTTTTTTGAGCAAATTTTGATCATGTGACTTGTACCTAGTGCTTTTTTTATTTATATGTTTGCCATATTGCTTTAATTAACATTTAAAACCATGGAAACGTTGTTTTGACCATTTATTTTATTAGATTTTTTTTTAATAATAATTTACTTTTTGTACTTAACACATACTTAAACTTTACAAAAAATTGATATTTAGATTCTTAAATTATACTAAAATCTGTTCCGAATTGATGTGAACGAACAAAATCAATCATTTAACAAGTAAAAATTTATCAATTTCTTTAATTGGTAATAAAAATACTTAATATTTGTTCCAAATTGCTGTGAACAGTCAAACTCACAAGAAGATAATTTTTTTATTTTTTATACGTGATCAAAATAAACAATAAAAGATATTTTTTGTAAAATTACAAAGTTTTTTTTTTCATTTATGCCAAATTAGAGTTTTTCCACAATAAACACCTAAAAAAATTATTTATCTTTTTAAGTGACAAAATAAAGCATAATATCTGTTCCAAATTGCTGTAAACAGTTTTGTTTCATACTTACTTAATGTCTATTTTGAATTGCTGAGAACAGTGAAACTCACAAGAAAATAATCTTTTTATTTATTATATGTGGTCAAAATAACCAATGAAAGATATGTTGTTTAATACTATTTTTTTGTAAAATTACAAATTTTAATTGTTTTTTTTTTTAAATAGATAAACAAAAAAATATTTTTTATTTATGCCAAATTTGACATTTTTCCACAATAAACTCTTAAAAAATGCTTAATATCTGTTCCAAAATGCTGTATAAATAACTAAATATTTTTTTAGTGAAGCTAAATTTGACATTTTTCGACAATTAACTCTTAAAAAGTGATTTATCTTTTTAAGTGGCAAAAAATATTTAAAATCTGTTCCAAATTGCTGCAAACAGTAGAAATTACAAAAAAAAAATCAGTTTATTTATTACACTTGATCAAAATAAAACAATAAAAAATTTAAAAATTATTAATGTTAAAATGTTTTTACCAATAATTTTATTTATC